ATTCCTTTAAATGTATTGTTGTATATTAGGGATTAACTCTTGATGATGCGAAAATTGAGTCCCCGCGTCATCAGTCCAGTTTGTTGCCTCATCTCCCTCGTCCTCAACTATCATATTGTGTAATATGATGCAAGTATACGTTATATCTTTAAGCGATGCTCTGTCCCACAATCGAGATGGAATATGTAAAATATTCCAACGGGACTGAAGCACTCCAAATGCTCGCTTAACATCTTTTCTTGCTGCTTCTTGCACCTTTTTGAAGAGTTTTCTCTTAGAATTCACCGGAGATGTAAAACTTTTCACAAATGTTGCCCACTCCGGATACCATCAGCTAAATAATAACCTCGGCTGTATTGAGTACCATTTACAGTAAATTGAATATCAGGAGCATACCCGTGTAACACATCGTTAAACAGAGGAGATTGGTTGAGCACGTTGATGTCGTGGTTAGATCCTGCAATTCCAAAAAATGCATGCCATATCCATAAATCTGCAGATGCGACTGCTTCAAGCACTAAGGTGGGAGAACCTTGATAACCGAAAGTAAAACGACCTCTCCATCCAACCGGACAATTTTTCCATTTCCAATGCATGCAATCAATGCTACCAAGCATACCTGGAAAATCATGTCGTTCATCGTGCATTTGAAGTAAACGTTGAACGTCACTATCATTAGGTCTTCTCAAATATTATGACTAAAAAATTTCAATCACGTTATGACAAAAGTATCGTAAGCACTCTAGTGCAGTACTTCCATCTATCCTTAAATATTCGTCAACACAATCGGCTGGTAATCCGTATGCTAATTGACGAAGAGCCGCTGTAGATTTTTGAATGGGGAAAAATCCCATTTTACCCGATGCATCAGGCCTTTGTTGAAAGTATTCAGAGTGATTTTGGAGAGATTGTACAATGCGGAGAAATAATTCTTTCCTCATGCGGAATCTTGTACGGAAAGTAGCTGAAGAGTATACTGGCTTGTCAGAAAAATAATCATTAAATAATCTTTGTTCTCCAATTTCGCGCTCTCGATCGATATGCCTTCGTCTTCGCAAAGAACTTGCACCTCTTCGTTGCTCAATCAACTCATCTAACCTCCTTAAATCCTCTAGACCCGTGTTATCAAAGATTTGTTCCCGCATATAATCATTCATTTCATCGTAAAAAATAGAGGGATCAAAATTGGGAAGAGAATTTTGAGACATGGTCGTGTGTGAAGAGTTGTTGCAAAATATATGCATACCAAAGAGTTGAAAAAGCTTGAACAATATTACTAGTCTCATTCCATATTTATAGAGTGTACTTGCAACAAGATCAAAAAAAGATTTGACTATATTATCCAATGTATGGATAAGATAATGAGAGAGATGTGACTACACTATGGTACGTATAGACAAATAAAAAATGAATGACGTGACTACACTATTAATATATTTAATGGACAAGATAAAAAGAGAGATGTGACTACACTTTGATACGTATGGAAAAATGAAAAAAGAATGATGTGACTATACTATCAATATATTTAATGGACAAGAGAAAAAGAGAGATGTGACTACAGTGTGATACGTATGGACAAATGAAAAAAGAATGACGTGACTACACTATCAATGTATTTAATGGACAAGATAAAAAGAGAGATGTGACTACACTGTGGTACGTATGGACAAATGAAAAACAATGAAGTGACTACATCATCAATGAATTTATTCATTTAAAGTATTTAATACTTAATTTTTTATGAGTTTTTTGAGTTTCTCGAGATTGTTTCAAATTTATTATATTTTTTTACTTTTTTCATGCAATTAATTATAAGTTGTACAATAATAATTATACGATGTGGTAAACATAATAATACTTCATATTTAAAACACAATAATATGATGTAATAAAATTCAAATACAGTGACACAACTCTTAAATTTTAGTTTAAATAAAATCAAAAACTCGTAATGAAAATAACTAATTCAAAATAATAACCTAACATGACTATCGATAATTAGACAAGATTTTTTCAACTAAAAGTTCATATCTTGCTCGTTGTTCTGGTGTCATATTCGAGGTGTCCTTCGTCAAAAGTTCATATTCTTTGGTAACCGTATGCTTCATGTACGCCTGATTATTCTTGTTGCTCTCATTTTTTGGCTTCCAAATCCATCATTTTTTGTCGAAGTTCAACAAGTTCATCGTCATCATCCCGTGCCTTGCACTTTTCTTTTGACTTCCGCTTTCGTTTCTTGGCTGCTTTTTGGCCTATTGAGCGAACCTCCTCTTCGATCTCATTGATTTCAACATTTTGATCAGCATTTGATGATGAAGTGTATGATCCGGATTCGTTGATTCTTGATCTCTTTGATGACTCTTTAACGGTAGAAACAGATGTCCATTTTGGATCATCTTTCACAATTTTCCACACATGCTCATGCACAAAATATTTTTTCTTAATTTGGTAATATACCTCATAAGCTGCATCCCTTACAAAATCATCACTCCACCCACTACGGTGTTCATTCCATAGTCTATTGTAGTGTTGGTTAAATTCATTGACATACTTTGAAAACCAAAACCAATGAGACGTTAACTTACCTTGTTCTCTTTGTGGTAAAGATCCTCGGTTTGCATTGTAATAGGTAGTAATCTTCTTCCAAAATTCCTTCATATCTTGGTAGTTTCCTGTAATGCTACAGTTAGAAACCGTGAGCCATGCACGAGCAAGAAGTATGTCTTCCTCCTTGCTCCAACCTTGATAGTTTGAAGTATTTTCTTTTCTGGTACTTGCGATAAAGAAATATTATCCAAACCAAATTGAGTTGAAAATTGTGGAAAATAATCTTGGGGAGTTGATGCCCTTGGCGTTGCATTTGGAGAGTCATCGTCTCGAACGCCTCCTCTTGTTGAAACCGGTGTAGGTAGACTTCCGGAAGACGAACCCATATTTGTAAATCCCATTGGAAAATTATTTCCAATCATTTGAGAAAAATAACCGGGTGGTTGATACATCACGAATGGATTTGAGACATAAGGAGGCAAATTTGGGGTACCCAAATTTTGAGGATATCCAAAATTTTGCATATTAGGATGAAAACTTTGGGGGCGGGGAGAATTTGAAAAATTGTGAGACAGATTTGCATTGTTTGTAGGATGATTTTTGTTATTTTTTCGGCTCATGGTAGTCGAAAATAGAAAAAAAAAATTGAATAGTTGATGTATAGTAAAGAAAGAACTATAAGTATAGAAGAGAGGAAAAATAGAGAAAGTGGTGTGTTATGAAAATCAATATTAGGGGTATTTATAAGCAAAATCTTAAATTATTCTCTTAAAAAAATTATCAAATTATAGTGTAAACATTTAGAAACGGCTAGTTTTTTCAACGTTCAAAAAATTTCTATGGCTACAAATTTGACAACCAAAATGAAGAAATTTTTTTTGGAGATGTTGTGAAGAAGACAAAAAAAAAGGGGCTTATAACGGTCACAAATATCAATATATTTTGTTTTTGATGTTGAAGACGAAAAAGGGGTAGATTTTTAAAAAAAATTTAAAAAGAAATAAAACAAAAAAAAATGAATGGGGCATCGGCAACGAGATGGGCCCGCCAACGCCCACATTTGACAGATTACACCACTTCAAATTTTCTCAACGCCTGACACAATTGAACGGTCTCCAATGAAGTATTGTGTATTTTGTCATGACATTACACACCAATTTTATCATTGTTGTGAATGGCCTAAGAAGCAATTTGCTCAATTCATGAAAACAGAACACGAGATGCATTGGTGACACATACTCTGTCACATCAGGCTTATGTGCTGTCTGCCAATTCCCTAAGAGGCTAAGACAGTTTTTATCAACAGACATTGATCAATAATCCCCAAGAGAGAAAAGTCATGGATCGAGAGAAAGAAAACAAGAAATTGGGCCACGGGGCAGAGGAGAGTTAGGGTGAGTGGGATGCCTTCTTTTCTACAGAATTGTTGTGTAAATAAGGATGGCTCGTTTCATTGGAAAACGACAAAATCACTCAACTTGGAGACCCTTTGTTTTTTTTTGGTGTTTTCAAATTAAATTATTATTAACAGTTTTATCCCAACATATTTTTTTATATTTTTAATATACTTTTTTACATTCTCGATATAAAAAGCACTTTAAAATACACATTAAAAAAACGAAACAAACAAACCTAGTATCGTGATAATTGACATACTTCACTAGATGCGATTCCCCTCAAAAATCAAAATGCAATGGAATGCCAGTTTCGCAAACAGATCTATTACCTTCTCACTTTATAGAGATGCGAGTACCATCAAAATGCAATGGAACCGAAATATGGAATGCTTAGGGATTTTATGGATGGCATTTATGGCAAATGGAACTCGGGAGGAATTGAACTTGGTAGAGTAGGATAATTAGCACAGCCTCTATTCCGAAATTATTATCCAGTTTAGATTTTCATTTTTAGTATAAATTATACTTAAACTAAAATCATAAAGTGAACAATAATTTTGAAACAGATGGAATATTTGTTAATGTTGCATTGGTTTAGTATGATAGTGTTTGTGAAATTGTGATTGGCCGGCGCAATTACCAAAAACAGTCTCTGATTGTAATATGGTTACAAAGTTATATTCTGTGCAGGGATTTTAAGGATTGCCGCGAATAGAACTTCGGACTTCGAAGGAATCGAACTTGTGAAGGATGACCCCGAAGTGTATGTGACTATGAATACAATGATACATACAGTAGTTTATGTATCTCAAATTGTGTACATTCTTCCCCCTCCTTCTCTATACGGTCTCCTATTTTGAACAAAATAGCACCACAGGGGATGGAAACCTTGAAGCAAAACTGGGGAAGAATTGCTACTCACTGGCTATTTCACACCACACAATTTTACCGCCCAAAAACACTGCAGTCACTACAGCAGAGACTTGTATGAGTAGGCTGTTGGCACACCCAACTCTTACCAACAAAATTCTTAGTTTTCTTATTTGATAGCCTTCACTTGGTTTTAGCAACTCTTAGAGCTCTGTCAAATATTGGATTGTCCAATAATTCTCTCGCAGAAGGTCTTCGATTTGGATCGGGGTCCATCATCACCTATACAGATTGATATGCCAAAATGGAAACAGAAGCTTAGTTAGCCAAGATGTAGGTTTGCTGTATGAAAGATTAGCTTAATTTCATTTCATTATTAGTCTGGTACAAAATTCAACTAGAGTTTCTATTTCAAAGCAAGGCAACTTGAATACCAAACATCTGTTGGCAAATGAACTTTCCAGTCATACAAAGATTAGTGATAACCATCACATGGAGGCAAAATGACTCTCCACATACAAACTGATGGGGACAAGAATGGTAGAAGAACCCTATCAGTAGGTTCTTCCATATTTATGCCCAGGATCATCATATCCAAGGAAGGAGCCAAAGTGTTGGGACTTTGATTAAGTTAATCTTTTATTAAGCAGTAATTTAATTATTTATTTCAGTATTAATATTTAGGAAAGGGTATTTTAGTATATTAGCTATGCTGCAGGAATTTCTTGGAATAAAAAGGAAATTAGGTGAGAATCTTAGTTGTCTTTGGTTTAGGTTAAGTTTTAGGCCTATTTATATATACCTCATATGAGGAGATTTTTTAGAGACGTTGATCAATAAAAATTCTTGCAATAAGTTTTGCTTTGCAATAGTTGTGTGACTCAACTAAATCCTTGGTGTGATGCCTAGGATTCCTGCGGTGTGACGCCAAAGGGCCCTAAGAGTGATTCTTAGGTTTTCTTCTCTTCTTCCTTTCCTACCCTTAATCCCTGTTTTCCTGCGATTTCTAAGCTTGTTTTCCTACAAATTCTTTTAGTTTCCGCTGCATACTACTCTTTAATCAGCCTAAGTTCTGATTTCTTAACCACCACGTTTTTGTCCTGAGTCACAAACTTGATGAAACTTAGTAGATGATGTACTTATTAGACAGTTTTAGGTGGCTAAGACAAAATGAGCTGATTAAACAAGATATCAAACTCTGCTTCAACACCACAAGAGTTCATAATATTATTTGGAATGAGTTTCATACCCTCAGTAGATTCTGAAACTGCACGGAATGACCAGGGAGAAGAGGCAGTTTTCCTTCCCTAAGATTCAGAAGGTGAGGTCCTGACTCAGGTAGTGCCGATCCTCGGACAATTTCATATATGGTAACCCCCAACGAAAATATGTCAACCTTATCAAGACAGTCATACTTCTCGTTCAAAATTTCTTGGGGCATATAGCGTGCATCACCCTCCTCGATAGGCAGGCTCTGATCAAGAAGGGTTGCACAACCAAAGTCACCAAGCTTGTAAACACCATTTTTGACATAAATGTTATCTGGCTTTACATCCAAATGAGCTATTCCTCGCTCATGTATGAACTGCAATGCCTTTGCAATCTGCAAATTAAAGAGTCAGTTATGCAATCTAAAAGAGCTGTGCTCAAAAGGCTTCAAAAAGAGAGAATAATCAAATTGCAGCATGAAGCAATACATGTCCGAAGCAAAGATTAATAGATAGAATACTGCTGGTATTAGTGACATCAATTTATTTCTTTGACTTGTACATAAAAAAAAGAATCCCCAAGTTATCTGGAGATTGATATACAGCAGCTAAATTTGTTTCTTTATTCTTTCAGAAAAAATGTTCAATTTATAGATGCACACCTCGTCAATTAATAACATATTTGCATTGCTCAAACAGGACATAGAAAGTACAGCAAATTAATCATAGAGATGCTTAAAATGAGATTGATAGTGCAGGTAATTCAGACTGTGACCAGGGTCATCCGAACAACAAATAGACCAGTCCAAATTTGCAACCTTTGTTAATATCAGTGAGACAGTTACATTACTTTTCATTCAATACTTATGCAGTTCCTATTATAAGCACACAATCTAGTTATAATTCATTGATGCACGTTTGTGATTGATAAACAAACCACAATACACTCTGCCTTTTGAATGTGGCATAGACAACGCTGAAATATTTTTATATAACCTAGCACAGGCTACTGTGTCAAATGAAAGAGATAGTATTACAATCAGATGCCTTGGGATGGCAAGAAAGGTATGAGAAATTTGACATTTTTTAGATGGTTCTTTCCAGCAAAGACTTACCTGATGCATTATTTCCAAAACTTCTGTTTCCATCAATAATCTCCTATATCTACTGATAGAGAGGCTATGATCACAGAGCTCCATCTGGATATACAATTTCTCATTCTCAAACCAAGAAGAATAGTAGCCAACAATGTTTTGATGGGATCCTGCACAAGGGGAGAGAGAGAGAGAGACTTTGATCTAAGATGTTCATAGAAAATAATAAAATAAACATAACAAATATATTAGTGCACGAACCTAAAGCCGCTAATGCTTGAACCTCCATTAAAGCCCTTCGCCTGATTAGATAACTCGTCAGCAAATTAAGTATGGAATTTTAGGATTAATATGAGCCATCCTTCAAAGGTCTAGGGATAGTTACACTACCTTTCAGCGTCATTGTACAACTGTCTCGTGCTGTGTTTGACAGCATACATGCATCCATCAATCCTCTTCAAGACTTTGAAAACACAGCTAAAGTTTCCATCACCAATTTTCTAGAGAAGGCAACCAGATAATTAGAAATTATAGAAACCATGACATGGAGCAAAAGAAAAGAAAATAAAGTACAGTAATTAAAGAGAGAAACTTGTTTTCACACATACTTCAATTTCATGGAAATCAGCCCGGTAGCGGGAGAGACCATCACCGCCAAATACTGCTGGATAAAGACCTGGATGTCATAGTGATTAGTGAATGTTAACAATTCAGACAGTCCGTCGAATGTAGCATATGGCATGCAATAGATGACATTCTATTTAACTCAAAATTCTTCCTTTATCTCATTAAAAGATCCACAAACCATTGCCAAATAACAAAAACTTTTCTGCTAACAATTTTAAAAAGGAAACAAAAGCTACCTGCACATTTTGATCGATGATTGTCAAAAGGATCTATATTTAATCCAGAAGCATCCTTATTATATGGGTTCTTTATGCAGGGAGGTGGCATTACTCGACACCTTAAAGCCACTGCAGACTGTGAAACATAACCTGCAATCTTTTCCGAGCCATATGCCTTTGTTATTCCAGTCTCGTTGTCTGTCAAAGTATCAATAGGAAGTCCTGATATTTGGTCTGACGTGAAAGAATCCTCCACGGTACCCTCTGCAAGAAAATCAAAAGATCATAAGCCCAGAGGTTTGGCTAATTAGCCATATTGATCGCTTCAGTTTGAAGCCCCAGTATGATTACTTGTGAAAGTCAAAGCCTTTATTAGAGATAGCTGAATCTGATGCATGTAATTGAGGTTAGAACAGTCAACTAAAATCTGAGAGCGAGGATTGCCCGGGAATGATTTCGAGCATGAAGAATGCACATTTATGGAACTGCATTTGAGTTGCCATCAACTTCATCATGCTATGTAAATGCACCCAGATAATAGGTATTCATCCAAAGCTAAAACAACAGGAGCTCTAAGAAACTATTAAATGCATACTTGCAGGGGGGGGCAAGTTAACGACAACAAAAATAAGTCTAAAGGAGCAAGCTTTCCATAGCATAGTTAAGGTCTACAAACAAAATTTTGTCAAAAATGCTTCCAAAAGGCATAAGTTTAATCATTTAAGCAAAATTGCTACAGCACAAAGTCTTAGTATCTGATAGCAAATAAGATAGACACTTAATATTGACTGGCAATATCTGATTAAAAACTGTACCCGTGTTATCATCGATAGCAGGAAGGCTAAGGTAGAGAAGTTCCACATGACACTAGCAAAAGAATCAAAATTTTACATGATAATAACATGCACTAAACCATGGTCTTAGGGTCAGAAAAATGTGGATATCAAATTAGAAACAGCACTTCCCTTCATCGAGCACCTTGGGCACACATTTTCAATCAACAGATAAGGCTAAATTTGAAAGGATAATTATGTTTACCAAGTCTCTGCCGCTTGCTTTTCACGGTGGTCTTAACTTTCTCCGGTGACTTCGGGCAGGGAATACTCTCCTGACAATAGCAACAATCGCAGGTTAAATGCTAAAAACAACATTAATTAACCAAACCTAAAATCGAAGTCGAGGTACAATGATAACAATCAGCGGCAAAATAAGTACCTGACTATTGAAATCCAGAACTGCTGGAGCATCGGGAGTGATGTAGTCGGGAGTGCTAAACACCACAAAGAACACAAATTTACTATCCAAAAGAAGAATATCCAAATCTAAAACCACACCATAAGGAGCAGTAAATTACAAACCAGAAGAAATCCTGACTCAGAATGAAATCTCTGTCCTCCATCAAATTAGGGGCAGCATCGGCGTCAAAATCCAAGGCAGAATTTGAATCGGCGTCGAGAAGGTTCTTGTGCTGGTGTTGTTGCTGTTGCTGCTGAAAAGCTGCAGCTTGCCCTAGCTGAACCGTCAGGTGTCTCGACAATGAATTCTTCATTGATGTTCCCTCTTTCCTTCTCCTATTCCGATTGCTCCTCTTTAGAGTTTTCCTCTTCATTCGCCGGACCGCCGGACGCCGGCTCTCGCCTCCTGCCGGAGATGAATGTTTTCCCCTATTTTTTAATACTGTAATTCCTTGGATTTGGGGAAGTGGTGAGAGAAAAAGGTGAAAATGGGTTTTCAAATTTTGCGCGCGTTGGGTTAAGGAGCAAAAAAGGTGAGGGAGGTTATTGAGTGGGATAAGGTGTAGGATAAAAACGGTGTGTACCACTTTCGCTGGTGATTTGATTGGACAAAATACATCGACGAAATAGCAACTCTGTGGGTGTGTTACATGGACTATATAGAGTTGCTTATGTTGGCGTACCACGTAAGCTTTGTCTCTCTATTCTTCAAGACCAAAATGGCAAAATGGGGAATCTGTCATTCTCATTTCATTTTTCATTTTAATTAAAATCTTAACTGGTTATATAGATTATACATTAGTAATTTGATATTTTCATTTTCGTGAATTTTAATGAACTGCAAACTATCAGTTTTTTTCTTTTCTTCTATCTGAAAATAATTATCAGTAATACCTTATGCTAAAAACTGGGAAGAGCAAAATAAACATTCTCTCTTAATTTAAATCAATTCACTCGAAAATATTTTGCACCGGATGAGTATAAGAGAGATAATTCAAGAAAATAAAAATTAAGGAACCGTAAAACGACACCTAAAAAAAAAATTCTAAACTCTAAAGTGGCATAAAAAGAAATGGTGGGACTATTTGTAATTTTAATATCAAAATTAAGTTTCTTGAGTTGATATCTTTCATTTATAAAATAAGGATAGGAAAAGGTAATATTATCGGAAAAAAAAAAGATTAACATAATGGATCATTAAAGTTTAAAATAGGATTTGTACCCAAAAAAAAAAAATTTGAATAGAAAATAAATGTTAACATTTTTTACTTGAGAGCTGAATTTTATATGTTGATGATTGTTTTATATAAGACATACATAAATATTTGCATATAAAATCGAGCTCTAAATATTTTGTCGAAATCGAGCTGGAGCACTAAACTATTTGAGCTTGACATGATTTTTTACATGACTCGAGAGATTTGGAAATGTGGATATGGCTACCAAAATTTGGACGTCTTTTGCTTTGGCATGCGTTTATGGGAAATGTAGAATGACAAAAGAGTGAAGACTCACCGGAGTGCAAACAATACACAAAGTCACAAAGATTGTCCGGAAAATCATGTCCAAGGTTGTACGGATTGTAGAAGAGAGGGAATTGCTATGAATAGTGGTTGTTCACATTGCATACTCCCTCAGGTACTTTATTACTACTAACTTTAATTTATCGTATTTTTTTAATTAAAAATATACTATTATTTTATAACAATTAAAAAAACATAATAAATGTAAATGTGCATTTTTAATATTTTATTTTCATAAGAAGAACACAATAAGTAAATTAACCCATGACTATGTATCGACACAATAAGAAAATATGAATTATTGCACGAAATCTCACGATTATGTCGTGTCTATTGTTCCAAAATAAGAACAACAAGACAAAAATTTTGAAATGCATGTGGAAATTAATTACTGTCAGATGTGGGCAGGTTCTTGTAAAATTCAATAACGCAATACTCTTGAGTGCGGCAAGCCACTATCGAAGCTGCGAAACCAGCTGTTTTAGCAAGAGTCTCGTACTGTTTCTCAGTCCTCCCTTTTCCTCCGGGTGTTAACGTGAACATCTTCAAATCAAGAGTTAAAGCAAGTCTTGAAGAGAAACTAACTTCTTGTGTGGATTCAGGAACTATCACTTCGATGACGATCACTTTGCCATAATCTGGTAGCACTTCCAAACAGCTCTTCAGTATCTTTGTGCACATTTCATCTGACCAGTCGTGAAGAACTCGCTGCAATCAATTAAAATGTACACATTGGTTAATTAGTTCACCAATCATCAATTATAAAAAAGCTAGAGAATTGATTGTCATCGCTAATTAACCTTGATTACAAAAGCATCTCCCTTTGGGACTGACTTAAACATATTCCCTTCTATGTGCTCCACGCCTGTTATACAGGAAAAGTTAGTTAGAATCCGTCTATTTTAATAATTCAATTTGTTATACAATTTGCTATAGGCTAATGATAAGAGGACTATTATATACTTTTCATGTCCCAAAATTATTGTGCAATTCTGATTTTAATTTTTACCTCAATTTATACTAAACTGAAAATACGAACCGGACAGAGATACCTGGCCAGGATGGAGCGGTTTTGATGACTTGAGGCAAGTCAAAGTTGATTCCTTTAATGGAAGGATATTTGGAAATAATCATATTGAGTGTAGCCCCAACTCCACCACCAACATCAACCAATACTTTCACATTCTCAAATCCTTTGTAGGATTGAAGGACTTCGATCATGAAATTAGTTGACATAGACTTCATTGCATCGTCAAATATCATTCCAAACCTCCTGTTTTCACTCATGTATTCATACAGGTTCAATTTATTGTTTGCCTTCTCAAATGGACTTCCTCCTTCTAGTATCGCATCTTTCAGATATTTCCTGCAACAAAAAATGGTTCTTCAACATTTTCCCTTCATCATCAATTTATTCATGTTTGGAGGAAAAAAAATCAAATGTAATATTGGATAAACAAAACTAAACATTTAAATTTCACTTAGTTGTGTAAATATTGTCTCGATTTTGACAGTAAAGTTAGGGGTATCAGTTTCCAACACAATAATTACATTTTTAGAGATAATCCGACACAATTTCCGTATTCATCACATTAATATTCTATATAAATCAACATGAAAATATTATATGGAATACATATACAACACGATTTTTTGCCTTTCCTGAAAGATGCAATCGAAGTAATGCAAATCAAACTGAGGAATAGAAAAGAGGAAGAGAGTACCAACTATTGTCGTAAGCAGTGTCATGGAGATATGCTACATGAGGAGCTCTTGAGTTACCATGTTCATCAGGTAAAAGACACCTTGACAATGGAGTCAGACCATATAATCTTTTTACTGCTTTACCAACATTTTCCTGCTTTTTGATCATCATCTTCATAAACAACAGTGCATTTCACCACAGAATGGCTGGCTAGAAGAAGCAACATTCGGTCAATAATCTCCGGTGCTTGTTCATTTTTGGTCGGAAGATGAGATGCAATCTCTGCAGCAGACACCTGATCATGATCGGCTTTAGAAATGATCTCAAACAAATTGAGCTCAACAGCTGCATTCAAAACGGATTCAAGTACCGAGCCACATCCCCAGTATAAGGACAACAAGGTTTCTTGTTGATCACTGGGGAGATTTTGGATCGGTGACAAACTCATTTTACTAATTAAAGTTCTCTCCACCTATTTAATTACTTTTAAGAGTACTCTCAAATGGATTCAAAGGAGTTGGAAAGTGTTATGGTAGTATAAATATTTATAGCATCAGATCTTCCACTTTACTAATTAATATTCTCTGTCCCAAAAAATAGTCCATATTAAGATTTAAGTTTTGAACTATTTTTCGGTATAAATTTAAAAATTTAATATCAACTATTTTTTTTTTTGAACGGAAGTATAAATTGTAGATTTCTTCAAAAAACTAACTAAATATAGTAGTGTAGATTTTTATTATTATTAAAATCTTTCTTCCAACTCAAAAATCAAATCAATTAGTAGTAATCAGTAGAGTGATCCAAGAATTTTTATATATTAGTTCTGCATAACTTTATTGAATCGGGAGCTTGAGCAGTGCAGCCCAATAATTTGATTCTTCACCAAAAATATGCTAGCACGCCACCAAACAAAACCTTTAAAATAGTTTGGTGCCAAAGTTTTTTTTCTTTTCTGAAAAGGGTTTGTTGCAAAGTAGAGAGTGCACAACAACTTTTTTCAAAAATAATAAAAGAGCAAATTAGTGGCCGGCGACTGCACATACTAGTATTACTGTACATCTTTGGAGGATAATTTTATTAATTATATGACTAGTATTACTATATTTGGATTTTGGGGGAAATATATTTTTATTAATGATCATAAAGAGACACAATGCACCTAATATGACGGTAGCAAATTGTATAAATACATATTCCTTTGGAATTGTAAGAAATGGAATCTTGGAGAATGAGATCGACCGATAATAAGGGTAGAAAGTACTCGGCAAAAAAATAAATCTAAGTTAGAAACATAAAGGTATAAGTTAAAAAAAAAAAAAAAAGAAATAGAAAACTCTCAACTCTAAAGCTACGGATAAATCCACACTAATCGGATGAATCCACACTCATTAAAATAACTAGCAAATCGCAATGAAAAATAAAATATCATAAGCCCAATATAACAAATTCAAATCTGAAATATATGAATTTGTCATAATACCGGAATGACAAATTCGATTGTCATGTATACATTTGTCATAATAAACCATTTGTACTTCTATAAATATCAAACTACATCAAAAGTTCACTTATGAGTTTACAATAACAACTGAAGGTAAACTTTTAACTGATGCTGGAATGGTGATCGAACTCAAGACTTTTTTGAAGTTGCTCCGATAGTATTTTAGTATAGTAACCATTTATGAAATTAAAATATTTCAATGACAAAACTGAAACTTTACAATACTTTTATGACCATCGGTACTAATTTTTCCCTCACCACTGAATCACCTCCACCACCGTCGTTATCGCCAGACCGTCCCTTGCCGTCGCCAGCCAGTGACGGTCTAGCGGCGGCACGGTGCGGCCCGCGGTGGCTACCGATGGTGGAGATGATCCGGTGGTAATTGACAAAAATTATGTAAAATAATATTTAAAATATTTTTTTAAAATATAAGTTAAAATATTATATGAATAGTGCATTGCATTTTGTGTTTAAGGGGGAAAATTAGATAAACAACAAAACAAGAGGTTGTCCAAACAAAGTCTAAGTATTTTTCGATACCTTATGTAAGAAAATATGAATAGTAAAAGGTGTAGCATTATCCAAAGATTAAGATAATGCATCGATTATTAATCACAAATGTCGGCATTTGCCTCTTGAGAGAAGGATTATGCAATATGTAGATTTTTTTATATAAGAAGCAGAAAAATTGTACCTGACTATCAGGATCAAGGTAGTCTTACAAGAGAGGCAACCCGAACTATTAATTGATAAAAGATTAACGAAAAAACACAGCAATAATCTACAAGAAGCACATAGGTTGCTGTAATTGCGGAGTTGTGTGTATTAAGGTCAGCATTTAAGTTTCTGATATAGTATGACTAGTATTATACCCGCACGTTGTATATATTTTACTGTATTTTAGAGTAATATTAATATACTATTATTTTTCTATGAAAAGTGTAATTTGTTTTAGTTTTTCTGTTTTTTGGTATATTATGCATTCGGAGTCCAAATTTAAGAGTGTCATATGATTTTTTTTTCGTTTTTGGTATATAGTGCATCCGGTGTTTGAAATTATTGTTCCAACAAATCCGTATTCGAATCGGATATGTCACTTTTAGAAGACAAACCTCTCCTAATATCATTACTGCATGTCCATGCACATTTAATCATGGATTGTAGTTAACTTGGTCCAATACTGTTACCACTTTGATCAAGTACTTCTTAACCATATAGGGTATTTTAAAATACAAATTAATATGTTCAACTATCTAATATGCTTCTTATTTAGGAGTGATAGTATATCAAAAAAATAAATACGAATTATATGACCAATTGTCTACTATTCTACTTTTTTAGGGATATAAGTATATAAAAGTTATTTTCAACAAAAGAAATTAAATCATGCATATTCTTAAAATATATTGACTGAAAAACGTATATTATTTACTTGTACTAATTGAATCAAATATTATAAATAATTTTTTTTTAGGTATAAAGCAAAATAAAAAAAATTCCAACAAAAGTAAATAAAGCATAAAAAATAGGGGGGAAAAACCATGAAACAAAAAAACTAATAAATAATTTGAAATACTTATCCATACTCTAAAATTTTTCCTTAGTTCTTTTTTAATAGCAAAACAGGTTGTGCCTGGCGGGTGCAGGACCCATTTTATTTATCTGAACTCATAACTTTTTCCTTAGTTATGAAATTAAACTTTTTATTTTTGAAAAATATATCAAATGAAGTTATTTAAAAAATATAATTAGCATATGCATGATGTATCTAAACTTGATTTCAAATTTTACTCGTAATGTAATGATTTGGCAACTAATCTTTATATTTTTGATAACTATTTTTATTTTATTTTTGAAAAATAGATCAAATAGAATCATTTAAAATAATACTAATATACATTTAATGTATCTAGACTTAGTTTTGAATTCTATTCGTAATATAGTGATTTGTTAATTAATCTCTTTATTTTTGTAATTAATCTCTTTTTATTTTTGAAAATATATCAAATAAAATATTTTGAGAAATAATATTAATCTACATTTAGTGAATCCAGGCTTGGCATTCAAATTGTATTCATAATATAATTATTTGTAACTAATCTCCATTTATTTCTTTAAATTGATCTCTTTTTATTTTTTAAAAAATATATTAAATAGAATCATCTGTAAAATAATAGTAACATATCTTGCATGTATACAGACCTGGTTTTGAATTGTATTTGTAGTATAATTATTTAGTAACTAATCTCTTTTTATTTTTGAAAAATATATCAAATGAAATAATCTGAAAAATAATATGAACATACGTTTAATTTATCCAGACTTAGTTTCGTATTGTATTTGCAGTATAATTACTTGGTAACAAATATATTATTTTGTTATTGGTAACTAATCTATTTTTATTTTTGGAATATATATCAAATAGAATCATAAAAAAAAATATTATCAACTTATGTTTAATGTATCCAGACTTAGTTTTGAATTGTACTCATATAATTATTCGGTAAATAATCTCTTCGTTTTGGTAAGTAGTCTCTTTTTTTATTTATGGAAAATATACCAATCATCTATAAAATAATAAAACATACTTGTAATGTAAGTAAACTTGGTTTCGAATTGTATTCATAATATAGTTATTTGGTAACAATTTTTTTTTTTGGTAACTAATATCTTTTGATTTTTGAAAAATATATCACATAGAATCAGCTGAAAATTATTATTAACTTACGTTTAATGTATCCAGAATTAGTTTCAAAGTGAATTCTTAATACAATTATTAATTTGATGATTAATATTTCCTTATGTCATATATTTTATCAATAATTACCAAAGACGTGTTTATTTTTCCAAAATTAACTATTGATTAATTACTTAATTCAATTTAAAAATTTTACGTATTAGTAATAAACTTTTAACTATTCAATTTAATAATTTTACATATTAGTTTAATGATCTAATGATTATATAACATTTCTAACAGAGTGATATATATTAAAAAATAATATTAATGATAAAAATTGAAATTGTATAATTTTTGTTGTTAATATATTTTGTTGTTTTAAATACGTTTAGAATAATTTTAATATTCGTGATCATCTAATACCTTATTATCCATTTTTTTGTTTTGTTGATTTATGACTTTATATCTTTAAAAAATATGCTCCTACATAAATATTTCTACTCTTGTCACATCGTTTAAATTTTTTCTCTAACAAAAAAAAGTTTTCCATTACATATTTCAATAAACTTATCTATTTTCTATTTCTCTATATACATTTTCCAAACTCTCATAAAAGTTTGTTTGTATATTTTTGCTATAATATATCTTTTAGTTTTTTTTTTTGGTTATATAGTCTTCGCATTTTCTTTCTAAATATAATTACCTCTCTTTAAAGCTTAATTTGTTTGTAATTTTTTAATAATTATTTCATTTTTCGCTATTATCTCGATTTTTTTTTCACATTTTCCTTACTCTCTACATAAGTTTTTCCCCCATATAATTGTTTTCAATTTCTTAATTTGTTTTTTTGATAAGAAGTCAAACATTTATAATCAAAAAAATAAAATAAAAATGAAGCTAGTGTTTACCCCGCTCGTTGTGCGGGTTTTCAAAATATATATGAGTTGAATAATTTAACTTAATTATATAATATTTCTAATGGAGTGATGTTCCTAAAAAAATTATTAATGATATAAATTGCAATTGTATTATTTTTAAGGTCAATGTATTTTGTTGTTTTAAATGCATTTAGAATAAATTTCACTATTGGAAATCATCTCATGTAACTTAAATGGCCATCTTTTTGTTTCGTTAATATATGACTTTATATCTTTTAAAAGTATTCTCATATTTTTATCACGATCTCTCTAAATATTTCTATTCGTGTAATATACTTTAAACTCACCCTCTAGTAGAAAGTTTCTCATTATTTTTTCCATGAACTTATCTTTATTTTTCATCTTTCTATATATCTATTGCAACCTTTCTTTGGAGGTTTGTTCATATATTTTTCATATAATATATTATTTATTTTTTTTCTTGGTTGTAAAGTCTTCACTTTTTCCTTATTAAATTTGACGACCTCTCTTTAAAACTTCATTTCTTGACAAATTTGTAATAACTTTTTCATTTTTCACTGTTATCTCTAGTTTTTTTTTTCATTTTTCCTTATTCTCTACATAATTTTTTTTTCCATATAATTGTTTTGAAATTCTCAATATGCTTTTTTTTTCTACTATTTGTCTCTCACATAAACCTTTATTATTTTTTCTCATTTTGGAAAACTTTCTCCTTATTAATTCTGCATTTTTTTATCATCATAACATTAATTTTTTCTACCATTATGTTATATGAAAAATAAAAAAAAATATAGTTAATCATCTAAAGATATATATATATATATATATATTGTCTTGTTACAAATTACCATTCTTCATTAACGTTAGAAGATTCATCGATGAAAATCACATATCAAACTTAAATTCCAAGATGCATATGCAAAAAAATAAAGGCACAAAAAGAAAACTATTTAGCACCCGTATTAATTCTTTTTATTAGGATAAAATAATTTTGATTCTAGACAACAAAAAATATACATCTTATTATTTTATTTTTTTATCTAGACGTGTTAATGTTATAGGGCATAAATTAATTAATATTTATTTCTTATAATTGTTTTTTAAAACTTATTGTATTTGATACTAATATTTGATTATATTAAATCTAGGAATAAACACAAATACTCTAGCAACCATTCTTGGGGTCAATCATATTTAAATTAGTGCACCAAGCTGATGAACTAAATAATCTAATCATATCAAACTAATAAGTTGTGCTAAACTAATAAGTTTACTTATCTAAATTAGTAAACTTATTTACTTTTTTAGATTCAACTGAGTTATCAAAATCTAATAAATTTACAGCCAATAAGTTTACTAAACTTATTATTGCTTAGGTTTTGATTGATGGCTAAGCTAAAGCAGTCGACTAAATTGTTTATAAATTTAATAAGTTGTGCTACGTTTTGTTTAGGTTTTATGAAGTTAACTAAATTGTTTTGTTTTATCAATTGTGTTTCTCTTTATCAGTGTGTGTGTGTGTGGGGGGGAGGGGTTGGGGAAGGGGTGGGAATACTATGAAAAATTAGGAAGTTAACTTTACTTTTTTAACTTTTGTAATTATTAGTTAATTTAGCTCTATTTATAATTTTTTACATTAAAAATTTAGCATTAAATGATGGAGTGATATGCTTGTAACATGTGGACTTGGGTATCTAATTTTGCACCACGTGAATAGCCTATTTAATATTTCACCATGTGTCCGATTGAAAACTCTCTTTTAATATATTAAATATATATATATATATATATATATATATATAGAATTATAGATATAGATTCAGGTATTGAGTTAATTAAAATGATCGAAGTTGGACGTAAAAATTATGAAGCATTGACCTTCTTGAAGGAAGTGTCGATTTGGATAAAAATTAGATCCCAGTATAGTCAAGGTAACTTTTCAGTATTCTTTATCAATACTAATCAGTAACGGGTCTAGATTGAACATTTATTAGTGGGATATGTAAACACTTAATAAACTGTTAAAAATTTGTTTATAACTAGAATGATATAACGTATATTAAACTCACAATACAAAAAAACTTGGTAAATTTTGAGACACTTTTTTTAAAATATATTTTCACTCTCAAAATTATTAACCAGTTTGAATCTTCACAATGCCTTATACTCCCTCCGTCTCATAATTAATGTCTAATTTGAGTTTTCATTTATGTTACAAATTGTACTAGAAGTGAAATATCAAACTGGACAATAATTTTGGAATGGAGGGCGTATTAAGGACCGGAGGGAGTATAATAAAGTAAGATACCCTCAGATTAGTCCCGTACATTTGACTAAATTAATATTTTTAACCCGTACATTAAAATTTGAAAGGATTGGTCCCAAACATAATTTTTTTTGGTCTCATTTCACTATTCTGGTACCTTTTCCATTCAGCTGCTAGCTGATCCCACTACAAGCATGGGTATTTTTGTCTTTTCGTTAAATCTCAATTTACATTAGCTTAGAAATTTTTTAATTATTAAAATATTCAATTTAAAAATTATTTGTCATTTATTTTCACCCTTTAAACAAAGTTAATTTGTTCTACTTATTCACTCCATATGATCCATTATAACTCTGACCATTGACCACTATAGTAAATAATTCAAAATTCAAAAAATAAAAAATATTTTTCACCTAAAATTTTAACCCGCCTAAAAATATTTTTAGGCGGATGAAATTTTCAGGTGGGTTAAAAATATTTTTAGGTGGGTTAAAATTTTTAGGCGGGTTAAAATTTTTAGGTGGCTTAAAATATTTTGAGGCACATTTAAATTTTTAAGCGGGTTTTAAAATATTTTTAGGTGTGTAAAATTTTCGGTGAGAAATGTTTCTTATTTTTATTTTTGAATTTTGAATTATTTATTATCGGTCAATGGTCAAAGTTACAGTGGGCCATAAGGTAAAAGGTGAATAGTAAAAGAAATTAACTTTGTTCAAAGGGTAAAAAAATGACAAATAATTTTCAAAATATTTTTTATTTTTTATTTTTTAATAATATTTTAAAAAATATTTTGAAAATGTATAGGACCAATATGAGGGTTTACTCTAAAGTATAAATAGGTAAGCCCGCAAGTCACATTTTCAACATCGATATATGATAATATTTTAATATGTAAACCATCACACACCAAAACTTAAAGGAAAGAAAGAGATCGAAGATAAAAATTCAGAATTCAACAGGTAGAAGCAATCAAGAAAAAGGTTGAAAGTGAATATAAGATCTTTTTTTTGATTTAAGGTCACAAATGATGATCATTTTACAACTTAATAAAAAAGACTCCCAAGTCTACTATATGGGGTGGTTCGTGCTGAGTTACAATTGATGTTGATGGGTCAATATAAAATTTGAATAACTATTAACCAAAAAAAAAATCGAATAAGTTAAAAGGAAGAGTAAGAATTAAAGGTCTACAACTCTACTCATTATTACAGAATCAGCAGTATAGAGATAGCATTTGCAGATAATTACTTGATGGATCTCGAGGTTGCGAGTGAGATTCTACCTCCAGAACTCCATGAAATTTATGAAGGTAACTTCGACGGGATATGTAGGGCTCACGATTTTCTCACTCACATGCCTGGATCAGGGGAACTGTGCCGAGAATTCGCCCGGAAAAGGCAGAAAGGTCAGTTGACAGTTTTCTGGTACCCGACCGCAGCAAATGAAATCGAAAAAAATTCCAGGACTATCAGCAACTCCAACACCAACTCAGTGTAAGTATGATATATATCTTTGAGCATATATAGAACCTTAAAACTTGTTAATTTCCTGGTTTTATTTCCCCTGCGCTGTTTCTATTGGTATGTGCAATTGGTGTATAAATTCTGATTGAAGAAGTTCTTTTTGAGTGTGTCTGATACTGTATCCAACATGTTGTAGAATTTCAGCTTCTGTCATCAATCCACATCATCGGTCAACTCAACATAAGATCATCTCTTTACTTGCATCCGCAAAATTTCATATGGATGATGTGTTTGTCCAGTTTTGGGTAACTAAGAGGACAAGTAGTGATGGGCACATAATGCTAAGTTTAATAGATCAACCTTTCGGTGTTGGAGAATTCTATAATGGATTCTTTAGGTATAGGTACGCTTGCATTCGAAGCGTAAGCGAGTTGGAAGACATTACTCAACTTGGTCCTGTTGGAAGGGTGTTTACACTTGGATCCCCTGAATTTTGTCCGAATATAGGATGTTATTCTCTGCAAGAATTCCCCCTGCGTAACTACGCTAAATATTGTGGCATTGTCTTGTTGGGTTTTGCCACTTTTGCATCGTGATTTTGATGAGCAGGAGCCGCAATGCCTTGGAGTACTCGAAATCCTTTCAATGAATAGACGTGACTTTCCCAGCTTTCAGTCACTAAAGGTGTGTACCAAACAATCAAGAGTACCTGTTAATGAGATCATCCAGGATTGCGAATGTTTTTAATTTGTACTCCTATATTCTTAATTAACTCCGTCTTATTTGATATTTCCTTTCGTCCTTGCAGAATTTTGGTTTTGCATCACATTTTCAAGGATGCAAGAAAGTAAGTGAAATCTGAGACTGAAGTATCGCTGATCTATATAACTTTAGTATTCCTCCGCTTTTTAACATAATGCATTTTGATTTCTCCTAAAATTCACATAATATACATTTTTAATTGAGAAAAAAATTTTCAAAATATATTTTCACATTCGTTATGTTATTTTTATTGTTAGGAAATATTTTTAATATTTTTTTGTCAACTAAAAATGCGTATTAGATAAAACTTAGTATAAATCAAAATGTCTTATATTGAGAACTGAATGGAGTATTTAGTAGCTGGCATTTGCTACGTGATTTTGTTACTTCTTTTGTCTTGGGCCCTTTGGCTAACATTGGTGCTGCTAACGTGATTTCCAGCTTCGTCGAAGTGCACCTCGTGCACCGATTGACTTGTATCCTATCTTAAGGTTTCTTAGGAAAACACACCAGTTACGCTTCTTCAGGTTTGGGTACCCTGCATGTGTGATTCTTCAGGTTTCTCTAACGCAACGAATGGGATTACTCAATTGTTCTGTGAATTCACATTAAATGACTTGGATATGAAGTATCAACTTCATGGCTTGGATTATGAACGTGAAACTTATGCTGTGAGAAATGGTAAAAGTTGGGTGGGAAGAGCATATTCACTCAACAAGGTTTGCTTTTCCAAAGATACAACTCAATTCAGCATTTCAGACTACCCTTTGCTTCCTTTGGTTCGTTCAGGTGGTGTTTCAGGTTGTTTTGCAATTCCTCTGCAATTAATCCATCACAAGCTCCATCCTTTCATATTAGAACTCTTTCTCATTCCTAAACAACAATGTGATGGAGATGTAGGGGCTCTCTTGAAGTCGATATTATCAACATTGGCTCAAGAACTCTCAAAGTGTAATGTTGATTTTGGATTAAGACAGACGGAAGAATTCAGCGTCGAATGTTCTCATTCGGACGATGATAAAATGGTTCACTTTGATGTATGCCGATGTAGAATTGTTACTGATGATTCCAATGTACTACAAGACGACATTGGTAAAACAACTTGGGAAGCTTTCCCAAATGGTGCACAACTAACTGTTTCTGACACAATGATAAATGAATTACTTCAAGTCCAATATAGCAATCAAGCCTTATCCTTATCCTCTGGTTGTGAAAGGGAAGTACAGCAGATTCCATCATCATCATATCAGCAGCCGCCAGTTGTGGAAATTTTCGATCATATTACTACAAGGCAAGACGTCGGTGAGACTTCCAGAAATGGTGAGGTTGAAATCACTTTGAATACCATTAGACAACATTTTGGCAAAAATCTCAAGGATGCGGCTGAAGAACTCGGAGGTAAATTTTTTCACTGCTTTCTTTAGTATTGTTGAGTGCATTGGAATCACCCAATACATTAAGTCACATTGATAAAACCACATCAATGTTATTCCTTCCGTCCTAAAATGATTATTCAGGTCTGATTTTCATTTTCAGCGTAATTTGATTTAAAAATAAAAATTTAAACTACACAAATATTTTAGATCAGATAGAGTATTTAACTAGTTTTTTAAGTCGTCATGAAAGAATGACTTAACTGCAGTTAGTCCATCTACTCTGAAACGCAAATGTCGAGAATATGATATAAAAAGGTGGCCATCACACAAGAGGAACAAAGTCCAAACCCTTCAGCCGGCCGCTAGAGGACTCCCAACTACTAAATCAACTGTCACACATTGTCCAAACAATATTAGTACTAGAGCAGAGAAAGATGCTAACACCATGATTGTGAAGGCAACGTACAAAGATGATATTGTGATGTTTCCTTTGAGCAACACCTCGGGGATTAAGGAATTGCGGAAAGAACTGAATGAAAGGTTCCCACTGGAAGCTCAGAAGTTCAAAATCAAATACCAACATGAAGGCGATTGGATCCTGATAGCCTGTGAGAAAGATTTACGCTTTCGCGTCAATACTTTAAAATCATCAGGACAATCTACAGTGAGTCTGTCAATTTTTCAAGTGAGTAATTAACTTCTGATCTTTCAACTTCTCCAACCAAATTGGCGGCCTACTGGAACATTAATCTCTATTTCATCATAAATATGTTGAAATTCTCTTTCTAATTTCCCTTCATACCATATTAATTTATCATTTGTACTTCATTTCTTCAGATTTGGGCTTTTTTATACTTCTATAAATTAATAGTGTTGGAATCACCAAAATTTATTAATTTGGCGAATTATTAAATAATTGATAAATTAATAAATTATTAATTTAAAGAATTTTTATGAGAAAAAAGAGAATCATCACTAAATTACTTAATTTGCAGTTGTTTTTTTATTCGAATCAATCAAGTATTAAAACTATTCTCAACACTAAAATCCATGCATTATTCATATCGTCTTCAGGGACTAAAAAATAAGTATTAATAGTTCATATTTTAATAAATACTTATAGTAGTTATTATTTTTTTTGTGAGGATATTTATTAATTTATGGTATTATTAGGACATATGGATACATATGAGATTTTTTGAAACATTATTATCTTATTATTTTATCGATTTTCTTCGCTTTTTGTAAAAGTCCCAAATTAAAATAGGAGAAAATTATTAATTTAACGAAGTTTTACTTTTATTTGACAAACTGAATTATATTTGTATGAGAGGACGGCATATAATGACGAAGATAATTAAAAGGTTGCACACTAAACCGAACTAGTGGTCGAATTGCGTTTGCGTATGACCAAAGTCAGTTGCCAGATGCCCAAATTTCCAATACACTATAACGTGTCCTTCAAACAACGAATATTGAAAGCTGACCCTGTTCATCATTATTATATACCTACCTAATTATTTTAATGAAATACTACAATAAATTAAATATTTTTCCCGTTTTTACTTGGACGGGCAAAAACATAAAACACGTTAATCAACGTGACCTCCCTTGAGGTTTCACGATATTATGAATCTTTCCTTAAAGTTTGTAATGTATACGTTTATACCTTTTATCCTGCTGAAAATATAACATAAATACCGGTTACGTTCAGACAATTAAAGTTGTACAGTCATGATCTTGAAAATTATATTTGTTTCATTTCATTTTGACAACCTGATAAAATAGGATATATATATTTTTCCTTATTGAATAATCCTACCTTATTATCGTTCGTTAACCTTGTAATCCAACTATTTTTTGGATGATCCAATAATATCCTCAAACCTTAGAGGCTATTCTTAGTTCTTCCAAACCTTCGGGAGATGGAAATAATTAAGCCATGAAGTTTTTTCAAATTGACACTTACACCCTCACAACAACCCAAAGACTTGCTATATTCTATTATTCCAGTCCAAAACTAGAGTCTGGTTTCGTAATTTCATTCCAAAATATCATTCCACATCTCTTTTTCACAGAAAAGGAAAAACCGAAAAAGGAAGATTTTCTTTCAGGTTTTTTTTTTTTTCACCTTATCCAATATATCCACTACTCTCCATCTTCTTAAAAAAATCCGATCATTCGCGCGGCTGTTAGGAAGGAACCTTCCAGATTTACCCTTTTCCTCCATGACCACTCTTTCGAGCTTGTCTTCTCCTCCTCCTCCTCCTCCACCTTCTCTTCCGCCATTAAACCCTAACCCAATTCCCCAATTCATGTCCCCAATGCTTCAGCCTTATTTAGAGCAGCAACGTCAGCACCACCACATCGGCCTGCCGGACACCGATGACGACGTCGCCGACGCCGATTCCGACAACAACAACAGCGACAGCCCTCAGAACCCTGTTTTTCAGAACGTGAGTCCTAATCGGGGCCGTATTAATAATCCTAACAAACCGATGGATCGCTCGTCATCGGCGCTGCTACACGTGTCCTTCAATCAGGACGCCGGATGTTTCGCCACCGGAACTGATCGTGGGTTCCGGATTTACAATTGCGATCCGTTTCGCGAGCTTTTCCGCCGGGATTTTGATGTCGCCGGTGGCATTGGCACCGTTGAGATGCTATTCCGGTGCAATATTCTGGCGCTAGTCGGCGGCAAGAACAATCCGCAGTATCCGCCTAATAAGGTGATGATCTGGGATGATCATCAGAGCCGGTGCATTGGGGAGCTCGCGTTCCGGTCGGAGGTCCGAGGGGTGAGGCTCCGGAGGGATCGGATTGTGGTGGTGCTGGAGCAGAAGATTTTTGTGTACAATTTCACTGATTTGAAACTGTTGAATCAAATTGAGACCATTTCCAATCCTAAGGGCCTCTGTGCGGTGTCTCAGGCTGCAGGGTCGTTTGTGCTTGTGTGTCCTGGCCTTCAGAAGGGTCAGGTGAGGGTTGAGCATTATGCATCCAAGAAAACTAAGTTTATTTTGGCCCACGATTCCAGGATTGCCTGCTTTGCCCTCTCCCAGGATGGCCAATGGCTGGCTACTGCTAGCACTAAGGGGACTTTGGTTCGCATATTCAATACGCATGATGGCACACTTATGCAGGAGGTACAATGTTGGCTCATGGATAGCATTTCATAAATTCAAAATCTTTTATTTTTACCCTGGTAGAGAAACTGTTGTTCTGCTTATTACGTTTTTTATCTGCAATTGATCAAAGTCATTTAACTCATGGGTCTGAAAGATTATATTTTTATACTGCTATAGATAGAACCTATGGCATTTGATTAATTCATTATCATTCTGTAATCCGTCAAAGTTATGTTGCTCATTGGTTTCGTATCTTCTTCACTAATGGTTGCTTGAAGCTAGTGTGTGTGTGTACGTCTTGTCTGATATTCTTGGATTTGGGATCTCAGTATGTTGTCACAGTAATTTATGGGTCTTTTCTTTTGACTGGTGTACTAATGTAGTGAATAACTCTTGCTCCTCATCCCTTGGTGCAGGTAAGGCGGGGTGCAGATAGAGCTGAAATTTACAGTCTTGCATTCTCCCCATCTGCCCAGTGGTTGGCAGTTTCCAGTGACAAGGGCACTGTTCACGTTTTTAGCCTTAAAACCGTTGCTGGTGGCATAGGGAGTGAAAATTTGAGTAGTCAACCGGAACCTGAGCTTTCAAGAACTTCATCAGGCTCGTCATTGTCTTTTATGAAAGGTATGTTGTAATTCGTGTGAATTCTTTAAAAGCATCATTTTTGTTGTAGGTGGATGGATTTGCTTGTTGCTCTTCCGATCAGATATTTGGAGTATCTTTTATTTTGTTCGGCAGAAAGATCATGAGAAGAGTTCTTCTTTATGATATACTGTCTTGATTGCATGATGTTTACAAGTTCAATTTGAGTCAGGTTTTAGTCATGTTGTTTCATGGGGAAACTTAGTAGTTTTCAGAGGGGAAGTAATGTTTGAGAGGGTTGTTCTGCATTGCTGTTAGAAGCTATCTGAACTTGGTCATGTATGAATGACTGTATAACTCCGTTGCATTTTATTTGATTCTAAGTCTCATGCACAGAAATTGCAATTTGCAACAGCTACCGATTCATAGCTTAAGAAGGTGGTCACAGTTGTGTTGTCGATATCATCCTAGAATACGTCTCCTTGTGACATTTTTCAAGAGAGATATCAACTAGTGCGCCTGATGACCCATTTTCTGAAACTACTATTCTTTGGAGAATTTGTTCTCATTGTCCCTGCCATAGAATTTTGAGTGGTGTTGTGGGGTATGTGAAGGTGTAAGAGGTTATCTCAGAAAGCATTTTAATTTTTTCAATTTGAGAAGCCTGTGGCATTTGTTATTCAATGAACTACAATCTTTTATCCGACTGCAATCAATTGGATCTGTATTTTCACTTGTTCTGTCATCAACCAACCAGAACTAGAGAAAGATAAGGGGACCTTGGCTGGACAGTTTTTCTTTACGATGGATAGTTTAGCTGTCTTGAATTTTTGCCTTTTACAAGATTTATGCTCCTATTAAGCGTTCTGTTTTTTGTTGGGCGTCATCATTTGTGAGATTTTTCTCCAACTCGGTTTTTGTTTCTCCTGTTTGACGCAGCAAACTGTTCCAGTAGTCCTAATAATATTTTTACTTGTTTAGTGTTCTCTCTGTCCCTGCTTTTGTGTATTCTATTACGATCAGATATGATTCATCTTACATCGTATTGTCATTTGTCATAGCATTCTTGAGTAACACTTGCTTGTTGTGAACTAGTTGATATTTTGTTGTTTTCTACGGTTGATATTTTGTAAATGTCCTGTAGACTGGAGCAAAGTTTATACCTCTAGATGCTGAAGAGTTTTGTAGTACGATATTATACCTGAGGAAATACTCAAAATTTGCAGGTGTTTTGCCTAAGTATTTCAGTTCAGAATGGTCTGTGGCTCAGTTTCATTTGCCTGAAGGATCTCAATATGCCGTTGCCTTCGGGAATCAAAACAATACGGTGGTAATACTTGGATTGGATGGAAGGTAAGAAAATCATTCAGCAACAATAGAGTTAATTTTTTAAGCCGTGAGATCTTCAACCTTCATTTCTAGTTCTTCACTTAATGCTAAGCTGCGTGGTAGTGGAGTACAATACATATATAGGATCAATAAAAAGACTAGCATATTAGATGAATTTAGTCATTGCACCAATATGCCCTTTTTTACAAGATATGATATTCTTTCTTTGTACATGCTTGATGCAGCTTTTACAGATGCAAGTTTGACCCTGCCACCGGTGGAGAGATGCTTCAGATGGAATACCACAATTTTCATAAGCCTGAGGAGGCTTTCTAGTAGAAAATTGGAAAACTCTCCTTCAGATGTATATATATTTTTCTACTGTATTATGAACTCCTTTTATCACCATCCTTGGGTTTATTATTGTATATTGTAAATGCTGTAGATATCTGGGATCTTTTAATCAAAACCGATTTAGATGGCACCAATCTGAACAATTAAAAGTTTAAAACCGATTTAGATGGCACCAATCTGACATTGTTCAGAGAGTCAAAAGGACAGTGAGGAAGTAAAAAGTGCTGCTGAATGCATATAAATGGTTGGAGTGGTAACTAATCCCGACTTTGGGCAAGAGTTTAACTAATCATTTATGGTTGTCACTATCTTGAGACAGCCAAGTTATATGCCAGTTAATTTGCTTAGAAGTGTGTATAGTGCAATAATTTACCAAACTTTTGATCGTAATGTGGCTTCAGATAACATAAAATGCAATGCTTACAACTTGGCCAAATATGGCTTTTTACGTGTTAAAAAAAAAAAAACAACCCCAAATTGGTGAATATGACTTTTTACATTTTTGTGGTTACAAATTCGTGCGTAGATGATATCTGGGACTTGGAAAATATCATATGGATTCTGATTTTGACATACGCAATAATAATCGTTGAAATTAGTTCGTTGACCACCCAAATAATTTGCTCATCTGCTAAATTGTAGTAGTAATTATTGTTTCAGAAAAGAGTTGTGAAGATGACTGAAATCGGTCAATAATTTTATTATTGGATAGTAGTTTCTATTTATTTAGATTTAGAAGTCTAAGGCCCTGTTTGATAAACCAATTCAGTACTTAAACTTAATTGATTAAGTGTTTAATCGATTGGCACTGTTTGATAACACAATCTCATTACAACTTAATTGATTAAGAACTTAACTAATTAAGGATTTAAATTTTAAGTGCGTTTGATAACTCATATTAGGATGTCTTAATAAACTAAGTGAGTCTGAAATACTAGTACAAATGTGAGTATAAAAGTAAGTGATAGGCCTATCACTTATGTCTGAACTGAATTCTTAAAACGATTTTTTTTCTATTTATTTACTTTTATATTTATACTTTTGATATTTTATCTTGAAATATTTTTATTAATCTTGGTATTTAGTTATAAATTGAAATTTATTTAATTATTTTATTTAATAAATATTTATTTTAATATAAAAATTAAAATACTAATATAGTCCATTATATATATATTTATCATGAATATATGATTTTTTTTGACAATGATAAAGATATAATATTATTATTAACTAAAAAAATGATTACCTGATAAAATTTAAATATTTCTATCACATAATTTTATAATAATACTATTATCTTCATAATCATAGTTTCATATACATATATATACATATACATATATTATTTTTTTAGATAAAATTATAAATCTAAATACTTTAATTTTGGTGTTCAGACTTCAGATTTCAGACCATTTAATCAGTCTTCAGATTTTGATTTTTATCAAACAAGACAAACTTAATCAGTTCAGTACTTATGATTTAGTCTTCAGATTTCAAACTTCAGACCCAAATTAAGTTTTATCAAACTGGGCCTAAGTCTCAGAGTATTACCTTAATTAAGTACTCGTTGATAGAACTATCATTTTGTTTGTTTGTTTGTTTTTTTTTTTTTTTTGGTGGTAAAAGTAGTCGAACAGAAAATGCTAATGTAAATTATCTCCTTCGGAAAAGCCTGTTGTTGTGTGATTCGGAACCGGGCATTGAGGCTACGAATGTGGGAGCAGATTGGATCTAGTAGTTGCATTTTCTTCCTACTAAAATAACCTCGCAAGCCTGGAATCGTTGGTTGTTGTGGACACATTGAACTTTCTTTATTTAAGCATTATTAGTTCGATATCTTTAACGTTTGCAGTTTGAAACAGTACCATAGTATAAGATAACGGTGCATACGGTCAAATGTTACTTTTTTTTTTTTTTTTTGTTGAGAAACCACGGTGGCTTCCATTTATATAGTCGTTGAGCTGTTAAATATTTGGATGAAAGTTCTCGTTTGTCTATAAAAAGAACATTCATATAGTCAAATAATCGGTTCTTTTTTCTTTTTCTTTTTGTTTTTTTGAAAAAAATACTTATATATTAATTAATACCTAAAATTTTACATTGTAGTCGGGAGTAGGTCAGATTGTGCAATCGGTTATTTTTCTTTTAAGAAAATACATCATTTACTAAAAAAAAACCGAGTTTATTTCAATGTTTTTTTTTAATCTCAGTACAATAAAATATTGCTCAACCGGACGCGAGTCCATTACCTAAATGCCTGATTAATTTTCACATTTGAAAGTGAAGACTACTTGTTACAAAAAAAAAAAAAAAAGAAAGAAAATTGGGAATTCATGAGGGACGGTGACGTCTGCAGATACGTAATGTTCGATGTAGGTAAGTCATATTCTTTATACTGTATTGACATATTCGCAGAAGGTGCTCCGCCCCCAGCAATCAAAAAGATGGAGAACAAAAAAATATATTTAATTTTTTTTAATGTATAATCATGTACTACTATTATTTTTTATTTTTTTTTGTTTAATTCCCTTAATTGTAATATGTACTATTATATATCATCATATGAGAAATAAGTGGGGAAGGTGTGGAAAATATCCCAATGAACGGTGTGAAAAAGAATCTTTTCTTCTATGTGTCGGTACTATTATTTTCACTTTAATTTTTGCTTGTTTTGTTTTTATCCGTAACACGTTTTCCTTTGTAATGTGATCCTAATAATTTTGTATCCACCCTGTCCCAAAAACTAGTGCCAAATATGTTATGTTTTGGACAGGAGGAGTATCCACTTTTTTTTTTTTTTTTTGATATAAACAAAGATCAATTTACGATAACCAAATGGAACAATATACATCAAGAAATGGTGGAAATATAGTAGTAGTAGTACTGTATTTGTCTCTGAAGATATTGTGTACCAGTAGAATATATCAGACATTGTATTATACTTGTATTGATCAACTATAGTTTTAGAGATACAGTAATTGTTTTCAAAATACTTGTGTATTTATTTCTTCAAAAGACTATCTTTATTGTACTTATCGTGCAACATCAACTCTATATAATACAGTACTTCAGGCTTATCAAATCAATTAAGCATATTTGATTCTTTCACAATATGAAGACATGAAAAAATTAGTTAACATAGTAATTGAATTTATTTATTTATTTTTTATTAGTAATGGGTACTAACACTATATTAGTAGTCATATTCTCTTTGTTTCGAAATAATTTTTCGATTATATACTAAAAACTCCATAACATGCCTTTTTTTTATACGCAATTACAATTTTCGTCATTCTTGACAATTTAGGGTACAACGTACTGAATCCCCACTCAAAACATAATTTGAAACGAAGTGAAAGATTAAAATGTCATCGAATATTGGTAAAACACACACAAATACAAACACGGAAAAAAAAAAAAAAAAACCCCTCAAATATTGAATTTTCACATGGCTTAGAAAAATAAATAAATAAATAAAATTTCACATGGATTTGTAGACGTCACATCTGACCTGGACGAGTTGGACAATGAGTACACTACCTCCCAGTCTCCCACTGAAAAGATCATTCCAGAATGCGATGAATTAGCTTTTTCTTTTCCTTTTCTCCACTATAAATATCACCAATCCGCTCCTCCTCCCTTCATCCATCTCAATCTTCTCGATCATCATCTTTCAATCAGAAAACGTAGTAAAATCAAAACCTTCTTTTCTCTCTTTCCAATCAAACTCCAATCATGGGAATCAAGGTGTACGGAAGTCCTGTCTCTCCCGGAGTACGTCGTGTGTTGGCCGCTCTGTCGGAGAAAGAGCTGGATTATGAGTTCATTAATGTGAATATGATGACCGGAGATCACAAAAAGGAGCCCTTTATTTCCATTAACGTAAGCCAAAAACCCAACTGATCTGCTTTTTTTTTTTTTTTTTCTTTTTTGTTTCTCTCCTTAGCTAATTAGTCACTGAATCTGATGCATTGATTTCTGTGTTTGTTTGTTTCCAATTTCAGCCATTCGGTCAAGTCCCTGGATTTGAAGATGGTGATGTCAAACTCTTCGGTAAGATCTGTTTATTGCTATTTTGCTTTTTCTTGTTTCTATTTGCCGATTTTTGTGACGGGTTGGCCAGATCACACATGTTTACTCACTGAAAAAAAGCAGGAATTTTTTCCCCTGATTTTAGCACTTTTTTGTTTTAAAGATTTGATCTTTCCTTTAATTGGGCTCTGTTTATGATCTTTCCCACTAATTGACTGTGATTAACGACTAATCTGTACTGATTCAATGATTTTTGTGGGTTCAATTTTGCAGAGTCAAGGGCTATTGTGAGGTACATCGAACAGGCTTACAAGGACAAGAACCCACTCTCATTCGATGACGCGAAGAAGATGGGTCCAGTTTACTCATGGATGGAAGCAGAAGCTCTACACTTTGATACCGCTGCCGGAAGTCTAGCCTTCCAGCTTGCTCTGGCACCCCTTTTCGGCATGCCCACCAACGACGCCGTGGTGGCGGAGAAGGAGGCGAAATTGGGTCCGGTGCTCGATATCTACGAGGCCCGTTTGTCCAAATCGAAGTACTTGGGTGCCGATACTTACACTTTGGCCGATATGCTCCATTTGCCCACCATCCACTACTTGAGTGGCACCAAGGCTAAGGCACTGTTTGATGCTCGTCCTCATGTTAAGGCCTGGGTTGCTGATATCTTGGCCAGGCCTGCCTGGGCTCGAGTCCTTGAAAAGACCAAGGCATAAATCTTTAATTAGTTTTCTCAAACTAATATTTGGATTTGCGTTGGCTTATGGACTTGTTGATGTTTGTTTAGTTTTTTGTTGATCTCATCCATTTTCATGTTTGGATGTTGAGAATGGATTTTGTTAAAAGAAAAATCATGAGGGGGGTGACAATTTATCTGTGTATGTTGTTATCACTCCAATGATAAATAAGATTTGGTTGAGTTTCATAAGTTTCTGCCTTTTGGGTAACATAAAAGCTTTGATTTGATACCTCTAACGTTATTTCTAGGCTTTGCTAACATTGCCATTGGGCACTCTATTGCCAAATTCGCAATTGTCATTGTTCAAACTTTCTGTGATTACTTTGAATGTGTTTAATGATTACTACTTTTTCCGATAGTACTTATCCTACCTACCAGACACAAAATTTGAAATAAACATGAGGGAGTAATTAACAGCATTGGAACATTCAAAACAATGAGTAATTTGAGACTGCGAGACGACCTTTCTGAGACTGACCGATATCGATTTGTAGTTGTTGAATCCCCGCAACGTTGTCTGCAGTCCATGTGACAGAAAAGTCTTACTACCATGTGTAATTTGGAAGTCTTCCTGTTTTCGATTTCTTGGTCTCGCCAAACTAGTTTCTTAAAGGCCGATTTTCCTCTTATTGAGGACCTACTTCAAGTAGTATCTAATCAAATTATACAGAGATTATGAATGTCACACTCGACGCATTGTCCTAAGCAAGCACAAAAAATTAGGAGGATAAAAAGGACATAAGTTACAACTGATTAATTATGCTGAAAAAGTGATTGAGAGATCGTCCAATGAAATTAGTGTCTCATACACAAAATACACTCGTTAAGAGTATAATGTGGTGATTTTATTTTCAATGTCTATATCTCTACACTCGTTCAATCCCAACATCTATTTCCTTCTCTACAAATTGATGAGGCTTGTCATCGTTTTTCAGATCATCATCTTTCAACTCTATGGATTCAGAAGCACCTCCTCTTTTGTTGTCATGATAAATGGCATACAACATAAGCTGCACAGCTCCAAATCCGCAACCGAATGCGCTTGGAATAGCCACAAAAGGATCCTTCCCAAGAATCCCAAACACCAGCCATGAAGTCCCTGCCAAGAACACAAACAGTGACAGGAAAAACGGCATGAACTCCACGCTTTTGGTCTTGATCACCAACCTTATAATCGTCAAAGGCGAAGCATACATAATGATGGAGAAAATCGTCGCAGCTAACCCACAAAAGAGCTTCCTCTTTTCACCCTCTAAAGCAAATATTGAAATGAAAACATCAGCTCCAAATACAGTAAGAGCTAGAACAACAAGACCAAAGATCTTCAATTTCTCCTTCTTTGGTGCAAAACACAAGAAAGTCAACACGTAGAATAACTCAATTGCAGCACCAGCCCCGTTGACCGTTGCAACTAACAAGTTATGCGGTGATACGAATGGCAAACCATACCATGAGGAAATCAAAGTGTTGAGCAGAGTCATTACATAAGGAACTCCGGAAAACTTTTCTGTATCTCTTTTCTTGATGATTCTTTTGAATGTTATCGCCGGCGCCAAGAACAGGAACAACGCGAAGGCGTTACCAAAAATTCCCACGACGAATTGCACATTGTTTTCCATTTCCGGTGATGAAAATGGATGAATCAAAGTTACTAGTAAAGTTTGAATTCTTTTTATCACACACACACACACACAGAGGTTATGTACTTTTGTTGTGCTATAGATCAGAGTAGTCATTAATTGTGTTCTGTTGATTATTTGTTTAGTACTACAATACAAACATAGCTTTGTTGGCCGTAGTCATGTGATTTGGCTCTGCATGACAGTCTAAACATCCAAATTCTTTTTTTAAAAAAATCAAAGACAAACTTTGGTTCTTTTATCTACTTGTAACAAAGTTCTAACAAAACAAAGTTGGCTTTTAAATTCAAATTATATTGAAAATTAAATAATTTTCTATACGTACAGTTGCAAATTTTCAATTGGATTAGACGACCTTGGAGATCTGGATTTGTAATCGAAGGACGGCATCATTGTCAAGCAGTCCACTCGACCAAAAAGTCTTAACTACTACTATTAGTTAGTAATTTTTTAAATTATTATCCTGATTGGTAATTTCTCAATTATTTGGTTGGTATGATCCGTCTAGTGGGTTGTAGGAGAAAAAATAAATAAATAAATTCTGTGTAGTTCTCAGTTGATGCATCTATATTTTTGGTGTAGGAAGCCTTCCTTGATATAAGTAGAGAATAGTCCTTCTTCCCTTCCCTATTATATTGTTCACTTCTCCATAAAAATGTCCTTTCTTTTTTCCCCTTTTCTTTTTTTTTTCTTTTCATATTTGTAGGGTGTCCATCGTCGGCAACAGTGACTAATCCTGCTCGCTGAATTGTAGGCACCTCGATGGGTGAGACAGCTGGCCAAAGTATTTAAGGTTGCTCCATGGCCATGGCGAGATTCAAACCCTCGACCTATAGTTAAAGGTGGAATTGTCCCTTTCACTCCAACACAACCACTTTAATTTCTTTTTTTTTCCCTTTTCACGTACCATGGTATCCACCCTCAAGAATACTGACTAATTCAGTTGTTGAGTTGTATATATCTCGATAAAAATTTAAAATTGCTCCGTAAATACTACTCTAATTATTATGTCAGGAGAATGATCCATAACCAACATCATCAGCTATATATCATCTAATAATTTGTCGGAATTGTAAAAATCAAATTCATTTGTGTCAAATCAAAAACCTTTTCTGTTTAATTATTATTTTTTTTTTTTGCCATATTTGTTGTGTCTCTACCATTGGTACCAGTACAATAATAATGACTAATGACAATCGCTCAATTATAAGCATACGTGGAATAGGTGGAAGACTATATGTTGGGTCTCAACTCTGAATAAGCATTTGATCTGGACTCTGATGAAATGGACCAAGACACTGAATGAGGTTTTGGAACAGCAGTCCAAACAGATCTCAATCCCATTAGTCTCATTAGCTGAGGAACCAATCGATAATGTTTTGAGGTGTGTGAAATCAGCTCAATGCAAGTCTACTGCTGGGAAAAATAGATACCAAGTTTTTAGAGCCTAAGTTCGTAAGTTTCCGATTAAGTCACATTCGGAATTATAGTGTAAAGCTATGTTTTGAAAATCGGATCGGAAGATAAACCGACCTTTTTACTGGGTTACTTGTTTATTGGTTTGAACCGGTTAGACCACTCTTAAAAATTGGATTATGTAATTATGATGTCATAAATATATTTACATATTCATAATATATTATTATGTATAAAATTTTATTTGTTACTATAAAACTTTCAAGAAATTAAATCTATGCTACAATCTGTTCAGTGATAAAACTTATAGGGTAAATTTACTAATACTCTAAAACCCTATCTCTTCTCCATTTCTCCTCCACGCAGCCGCCCTCCCCCCTTCCCCCATTGTTCTCTTTCTCATTTCTTTTCTTAATTTGGATTAGAAGGGGATAAAAAAATTTCTAAATCGGAGAAAAGTAATTGTTGTATGGAAGAAAAGATTTGATCCGATTGATTTGTAAGGATAATGATGAAATTTGTAAAATTTTGAGAAATGCTGTACAAAAGGAAAAAAAAATGGCGAAATTTAAAATTTTTTGGGAAGAGAAACAAAAACCCGCGGTCAGCCGGTTCTGTCCGGTTTCCGGTCTAACTGCGGGTCTGACTGGTTTTGATCGATTTTTAAATTAAACAGTTAAATATCAAACTCGGCTTGGTAAGCTTTCCGATTTCCGGTCAAACCGATCCGACCGGCCGGTCTGGTCCGGTTTTAACAACATAGGTGTAAAGTGCATCCCCAGTCTAAAGGCAGCAACAAATTCAAACACTGACTAATTGCATAATGAAAGAATAAATTTACTCAACCAATTGACTTGATTAATTTAGCTTATCATATTAACCATACTTTGACATCTTTGGCATCCTCGCCTGTATGTTAATTTTTTGACTTTTTTGTCATGCTATTATATAGGGTAATTTACCTCGCAATATAATTGTGTAATATCATTGAATATATATATTTTTTTAATGCAAAAATCTTGACAAGAGATATCGGTCTAGGACAATAACATTTTATGTTATCAAAACTCCGCCATTGGCGAAATGATGATGTTGGTAGTGATGTTAAAGAGAAGAGGAGTTCTTTTTGAAGGAGGGGGGAAAAAAATATAGAATCACCAGTTGAAATTCGAGCTAAATGGATCTATTTCAAGAAATAAACCAATAATTAATTTAATAAAGTACAAGGTTTAAATCCAGTCATAATTAACTGATGAACTACTGTTCTTGAAGCTGGTTCTAGCCTTCTAGGTTCATACATATAACTAAATGAAGTTAGGAGACTAATTCAAAGGCTTTAAAAGACGATGAATAAACGAGTTATTAAAGCATGAAGTCAAATAGTCAATAGTCAGTCCTTGCGTAATTTTTACTCTTCAAATTTTGCGTCTCATGGAGTTGACCAAGTATCATAGTCAATAGTCAAAGGAATACAGAACCGGTGTAAGATTTGATTCATTAATTGCATGCAATATAAGCATCAACATCTATATAGTGTATTGTCTCAATTAAACTTGTTCAAAGTTCAAACTTTAAATTCTTTGCTTCATTAAGTTGTCTGCTGTTCTAATTACGCCGTAAATCATGGCACTTAAGGTTTACGGACATGTAATCACCCCTGCCGTACAACGTGTGATGGTTTACCTGGCCGAGAAAGAGCTAGAATACAAGTATATTCCGGTTAACATTTTCGCCGGCGACCACAAGAAACAGCCCTACCTCTCTCTTAACGTGAGTAGCCTTTTAGTTTTGTTCCATTAGAAAAATTAATAACTCCGGCCAAATTCAAAACTAAGATTTTGTTTTCATTTTTTCCGTTTTTCAGCCATTTGGTTTGGTCCCAGCATTCAAAGATGGTGACGTGACACTGTTCGGTACGTTTTTGAATAGATTTTGTAAAAAAAAATTGTTACGTTCTAAAATGATAGTCATGTTTGATTAATTAACGAATGGTTATGCAGAATCAAGAGCGATAATAAGGTACATCGAAGAAACTTACAAAGGAAAAACTCACCTAACGTTGGACGATCCAAAGAAGATGGGTGCGGTGTACACGTGGATGGAAACGGAAGCTCTACATTTCGATCCGGCAGCCATGAAGCTGGTGTTTCAGCTATGTACGACGCAGGTTTTGGGCATACCGATGAACGAAGCCTTGGTGGCGGAGAATCAAGGAAAGCTGAATTCAGTTCTTGATGTGTACGAGGATCGGTTGTCTAAGTCGAGGTACTTGGGCGCGGATTCTTTTACCATGGCGGATCTTTTCCATCTACCCGGCATTAACTCTTTGATGAGCACAAAACTCAGGCCAATGTTTGAAGATCGTCCCCATGTTAATGCCTGGGTTAATGATATCCTGGCCAGGCCATCCTGGGCTGAGATTATCGCCCTCAAGAAATCACAATCCTAATTCCTAAATTTCAATAGCTCCTTTGAGGTTGGATTGAGAGTTTTGTTGGTGTGGTAGTACTGGTGTTTTTTATTTTTTCAGTTTTATACATTATTGTTTACTTTAGGTCAGATAGGTTGCAAATACATATGTAAGAGATAACTTCATGTATTTATTTAACATTTATACTTACATTGTTACTTTGTGTGTGTGTGTATGTGTGTGTATATTGTATAATTTTCGATCACCTTGCCCTTTTAGCCAAAACTACCGAGTACCAAGTTAAAAATGTTTTCTGATTATTAATTTTTTATCGTATCAATTTGCAAACCAGAGAAGAAAAGTTTGTATGGTGATTTATTGTACTCAATCTAATATTTTCAATTGTGAATCTTTCCTTTGGCTTTTGATTTTTTTTTCCTTATGAATTTCACTGAAAAGAAATATATACATACAATATTTGTTTGAAAAATTTGCTTTGAGTATATTATTTAGTTAGGTGATTTTTTTACATTTATTTTGAATCCTAAAAATTGTTAATCCAAATTAGAAAAAAAAAAGCAATAATTTTATTGCGTCGACTTAGTTTGTGTAGCCGACGACTGTCGATGGATTACCGGTAAAAAAGATGCCACGGACAATTATAATATAAAGTAACTATGTGTACCTAAGTTGTAACAAACGCGCCCAAAAAGGGGTTAAATTTTATTTTTTTTCAAATATTTAATTCCTGATATTTTTTCTATTTTTTAGCCATCATAACTATATCCAACTTCCTATTCCATTCAATTCAAAGACGTCTCAAACTAAAAAAATCTAAAAATTCAATTTCATCTCTGCAGCGATTTGGCATCAGAACCTCTCGTCGGTGGTATTTTTGAAGATGGAATCTGGTTGTGCATTAAATTCCGTGAGTTTGTTTGCAATATATGCTGCTCAATATGAGAATTAAGGGAATATTCATGAGGAGGGCCATGATTGTGTACTCTGATTTGGATAAGAGTAACTCGATGACTGAAGAGAGAAGGAGGTAATACTATTAATCTCTTTAACAATTGATGTGTTTTTTAGTTGGGTTATGTAGATTTAAGGTATGTCCATTCGATTATAAGTATTTGTTCATTAATTTCTTAGTTTTGTTCATTGATTTGTTGTTGATTTTAGACGAGATTAATAAATCTGGGCATTATTCATCATTTCGATATCGTTATTCATCGTTGATAATGAAATATTCATTGTCAATAATAGATCTAGGCATTATTCATCAACCTGATTTTTTCATCAATTTGTTGTCGTTGAACATCATATTGTTGTTGTATTTTTTTGGGAATATTCATCCGTAATGAGTGATTATTTATAGAAAATAAGCAAGAAATCGTCGAAAATTCTTATCTTTTCGGCGTTGAGTCTCAGGTTATAATGATTATTCATCATTCTAATTAAATATAATTTATATTTTATGAATATAGTGTATGATATGCTGATTTATTCATCCCATTAAAAGTGATTATTCATCCTTTACGAATCTGTTATTCATCATGTTATATGTGCACTGTTGATATTTTGATTTGGATTGGGTGTATATAGATTTGAAGATTAGTCATCATGTTAATCATGATTATTCAACATCTATTAAGACGTTATTCATTAAGTATACTGTTCATTGTAGGCATTGTATGGATTAGATGTACATAAATATGATGGTTATTCATCATCTACTATGTCGTTATTCATCTAAAGAGTGATCTGATATAATCATTTGAATGTATATCATTCATCATGTGAATTTGAATAGTTCATCCTTTGAATATGTGTTAGTCATACTGTAAATATCATTCATCCTACAAAGAATTGTCATTCATTTTTAATGAATTGTTATTCATCATGTAATATGTGAACGTACACGATAGTAAATATGTGTCATTAATCCTATAAAATTGTGTTATTCATCCTGTCAAAATATATCATTCATCCTTTTAACATGTGTTATTCATTCCATAGATATGTGTATTTATCATGCAAAGATATGTCATTTATCACCTGTGATGTTGTTATTCACCATTTAATATGTACTTTTACACGATTTTTATTAACTAGATTTGATTTATGTAATTTTAATGTTTATTCATCATTTTCAAAATGATTATTCATCTTCAATAGCATTGTTATTGATGATTAACAGAGTTTTCATTGAATGTGAAATCTCACTTATTATAATGTTCTTTTTGTTTGATCAGGAACAAAGACATGCTCATCAAGATGAAGTCGATCGTTCGGGAATCAAATATTTTGCCAGGGTTACTGAAATCAAACAATCAATATAAACGTATTGAACATCGGCAAATCCTTCAAGACATTATATATTAATAACAATGACTAGTTTTTTTGTTCATTTTTTGTCTAATATAATACATATTTAGAAGTTTGTTAGTTTAGTTGGTGATATTCACCCATTGTAATATATACTCTTGTTATCAAAGTTATTCATCCACTAACGTATATTATTTATTCATTAAAGTACAACTATTCATCTTACAAAACTAAAACTATTCTTCACTGCAATATTATTATTCATTTAGGATGAGATCATTATTCATTATATTTGTATCGTTATTCATCTTTGTAAATATCGTTATTCATTACAAAATTTAAATTTATTCTTCCATAACATTGTCACTATAAAAACACCATTAGTCATCCACAATATTATCATTATTCATTGATAAGTATACCATTAGTCATCCTAACAAATATCGTTATCCATCAAAATTTGCCAAATTTGACGCTTAATTCTCCGAATTTCATTGTTAATCAGTTGAATTTTTTGCTCTAATTGTTTCACCAGATTCATAAGTCTTGATAATGAATAATATTAAATTTTACCAAAATAAAAACCATCGTTAAAAAAATTCTCATAAAATAAAATAATATAAAAATAACAGGATAACCAAAAAAAAGAATTTAAAATTAAACGTGTGCTAAAAAAAAGGATAAAATTGGGAGGATTAAATGCCCAAAAAAAGGAATAATATTGGGGGATTAAAAATGTGTGTGTGGAAACACAGTGTGTGTGTGTGTGTGACTCTTCTATCAATTAACGCACTGACTAGAGGCGAATATACGTCTACTGTGTGCGATTATTCGCGATTTTCTTCGTTCTTCTCTCGGCATACGCACCACGATGTCTTGCCATGGCAAAGACTACAAGGAAGAGGCAGAAGAAAGCGGCGGTAGAGAACAAGATTGTGAGTGAAGAAATGAACACCGATTGAGTTCCACTGGGGAAGGGAACCAAGAATCTTGAGGCGGAGGTATCACTTGATTTGGGAAAACTGGTGATGAGTACAAACCCTAATTTGCAAATTGGGGAAAAACAAGAAGGCAGTTTTGTCTCCAGCTCCTGATAAGCGCCGATTGTCATGGGCTGAGGAAGTCGATAAAGGCACGGAATCCAATGTCTGGCAAAAGTTTGATATCTCTAAGATGCGTCATGGAGGAACGAAACTGGAGTATGTGCCGCCGGAAGAAATTGATGGGCAAAGCCTTGGGCAAATCCAGAAGATGGCGGTGGATGTTGAAGCACAATTCTGGGAGTCTTCTGCTATGAGCTTCGTGCTGGGATCAAACCCTCCATATGCGGTGATGAACAAACTCTATCGCAATCTCTGGGGGCACCTTGGTGTTGACTAGGTAATTTTACTCCCATCAGGTCTATTTGTCATTCGTTTCACTCTAGGTAATTTTACTCCCATCAGGTCTATTTGTCATTCGTTTCACTAGTATGCATGCATGCATGCTAGGGATACAGTGATAAACAATAATGTCTATCACTTGGAAAGTAAACCTATCATTATTAAGCCATGGACTGTTGAGGAAAGAATCAATTATAACGAGGTACTTAGGGTTCTTGTTTGGGTCCAATTAAGGGGTCTGGAGTTGAAATACTTGCATTGTTCATCTTTAAGTCGAATTGCTAGCTCTATTGGTATGCCAATCATGACTGATGAAGCCACGACAAATAGAGACAGGGTGAACTATGCTAGGATACTTGTTGAAATGGAGATTAGGGATCAAGTGAAGGATAAGATTAACTATATAGATGAGAATGGTATTATTAAAGAGCAGGCTGTGATCTATGAGTGGTCGCCAGTAGTGTGTGGATCCTGTCATGGCTATGGCCACCATACTGATAAGTGCAGGATGGCTAGGAAACCAAATCATCAATGTGTAATTGAACAGAAGAAGATGGGGATACTAAGAGGGAAGGGAAGCGAGTAGTGGAAGAATGGAGGAACACCAATGTCTAACAGCAGGATCTGGCCAAGCCAAAAGGTGTTAAAACTATTGAGGATCCTATCGGTGACGAAAGTCAACCCCTGATGATCAGAGGGATGGACATAGAATGGTGATTTGGTGTCAACAAGGGTTGAGGTGGGAGAGATCACCGTTGTTTCATGAGGAGAAAAGGTGTGAGTAACATCTCCAGAAGAGGAACGAGGAGACTGGTCATTAGTCATGATCGTGGATGAGCAGATGATGGCCGAGAAAAAAATTTGTGAGTGGCGGCTGATTTAGGGTTTTCTGCTCTGTACCATGACTACTAAAATGTCGAAGATGTTTTCATTGCATTGTTTGTGTTACAGAGTAAGCCAGTATATAGGCTAATTACAACATGCGGATAGATAAGGAAGTGATTTATTATTATCACGATACAACTATATACAAGGAAACATATATCAATGATATTAATCTCAATATATTTATTGTTTGGAATTTTTATTTTTTTTTTGAGAAATTAAAATAAATTCATTAATTTGCTTGAAATCGTCTAGCAACGATTGATAAAAACAAGATATAGCCATAAAAACACAACTTACAAACACTTACAATGCCATTGTTGTGTTTCACTACATGGATAAACCTATATTGATCTATCCCATAAAATAATGGTTTCGATTGAAACACCCAAATCGTAAACCTAATTATAATTAAATCTACTATGACTGAATTTTCTTTGACCATGCCAGCCAAATCGACAAACACCTTCAATGAAGCCGTCACCGCTGTATCTGTATACATCACCGACGAAACTGTCACCATACTAACAAACATCAACAAGGATGCCGCCGCCATACCTGCAAATATTGATAACGATATTGCC